ATTGTATATCGCTAACGGCGAAATAATTTAAGCTAATCATACTTTGTGATTCACTCTGTGTATATCTCGCTTCGTTATAATAACTTACTTATAGTGCAATGGGCTAGAAACCGCGAGGAAATGGCCAAAAGTCATTTTTATTTTTATACTATGGTTATACCATAATGTGACAAGTCTTCAAAGCTCCAAAATCCGAGATACTATTCATTTCAGATAATTCTGTGATCTTGGGTACAGTTCTGAAAACAAGATGCAAAAATTTTAAATAAAGCTAATTGCTGCATGTGCTTGTTCTAGAATATTAAAATACAGGTTTGAATTTTACTATCTTATGTATATCAGTATGCTAATTGTATCATAAGTATTTGTTCAAGGTACAGATAGTGCAAAATTTATAACGATTAAAATTTTTGATAATGTTTTTAAAACAATGATTAATAAATTTAATAGCGATAAATATCGGACCTGTTTCGTATGAAAGTTTAAATCGCTGCTAAGAGGAATATACAAATTTCAAGCGCAGCCTCTTGCAGCTTTTAACTCTGTTCCGATTTTAACCAATAAATGATAATTTCTATCGTTTTGGACGCTTGTAGCTGCATAATACATACATAAAGCGGAGGAATTACTTGAAGAGGGACTTAAAAGAAGAGGGTTGAGTTTCATAGCGAAAATTTTACTCCTTGTTAGTATTCGTTGTTACAAACGCCAGATATTGATTTTCTCATGGCATATTTCTGGGCCATGGCATTAATCTTGCCGAATGTGCACAGTGAAATATGCCTCGTATTCTTAAATTTTGTTTCATTTTATATATTTTTAAAATGTAAAAGTTCTATGTAATCTATTAATATTTCGCGTAATATCTTCCTGTTACGGGAATGAATCTCGTGTCATTTTTCTGCCCTTTGCACAATACGACATAAATCCCACGAATTTAATTCCTCTTAATTAAATTAAATTGAATTAAATTAAATTAAATTAAATTAAAAAAAAATTGCCAAAAACTTAAGGTTTTACATATTTATATATAGTACAATAGATAAATGTATTATATATTTTATACATTAAAGACAAGTTTTCTAGAAATTTTCAAGTTTAGCATTATGTTAAATGTCTTTTTTTTTAAAGCTTCTTGTTATCGATTTTACATGATGGCAAGAACAAAGAGTTTCTAAAGAAAGTACTAAATAGAGGAGATACGTCTAAATAGACAAGTAAAGCGATTTAGATGAAAATCTTTTTAATCTTCTCATCGAAATTAAAGTCTCTTGCACTTTCTTTTATGGAAATTGCTTGATAACACGTAATTTAATATATTAAATTTCATTAAAAATGCACGATAACGTGCGTAATATATTTAATCAATAACATAGTTAACGAACAAATATTTGACGAACTAACTCCACTGCAATAAAATTTCTTGGTAATCGGAATATGCGGAACTAGTATCACCGAATTCCGAGTAAACTACAGCGCAATAGTGTTAGTATATATAGGTATGATTGGCATAGCGATTAATAATCGCGACTGTATCTAGGGTGTTGCCGGCGAGCATCGATTAATACCTGCACGATATAATGACCGTAAACACGGCGTGGTACAGGCAGATAGAGTAAAATGCATCCTATCTGCTGGGACGTGCGACCTATTTTAACTAGTTTAACAGGCTCCTTGTCATTGCAGCGGCACACGTGGCCGTCTACGACAACGCTTACGGGAACAGCGATTGGCAACGATACGGTGCAGAATGTACTTACGACGTGCTGGTGAACATGTCTTTGGCCAATATCGTCCACGAGAAGGACAATTTCTGCTCGATGATCGCGTCAGAACTGAAGTGCCGTCCGAAAGGCAGTGACACCCTAAGTTGCCGTTTTACGAATAGAAAGATCATCAGACCCGATCCAAACGACGATAGATGCTCGAATTCGAAAAATTTCGTTCCAGTCAACGACAGATTTATCAACGAAGAACCATTCGAGATTAGATTCAATTCAAAGGGGATAGAGAATTTAGTGGTGCCGAGAAATATTTCTAGATGGAGCCTGGATATGATAAGAGTGATCGTTGGTCAGCTTAACGTTGGCTTTGAACTGGAGAATGGACAGGATCGGTTCCTTACCATGGAGGATTCTAGTATGGGATATTGCGAAGTAGAGGTCAAAGTGTCAAGGGCAGGATATGAAAGGGGAGTGGTGGGACAAGAGGGATACGACATTGTCTTTGAACCTGAAAGACCAGATACGCTGCCTTTGAGCGTGGCGAGTCTGACTATAGACAAGGTTAGACAGCCCAAGCAGTGTCCTAATAGGAAGATATACTTCTTCGGCAATCACGAGGATTTTAGTATAGAGAACAAGAATACTTTCATGGATATGGTGAGTTGTGGGAATTAACGAAATAGAAACTAAGTTGAGATTTGTTTTATTCGGTAAATATTATTATAACAAGTGCCTTATTACATATTGTACATTCGTATTTCTACACAGTCTATCTAACTTCTAACAGCCTATCTATTTCTAACAGCCTATCTAAGTCTATCATCTAACTTTTAAATGTCGTAACATCTTTTGCAGACTACATCTATCAGCCAGATGCACATTTCACGCGAAGAGATGTACTCGTTCACTGAATCTAAGGGCGTAATGAGAACATTGAATAGACCAAGAACGATGCGAATGCATCAGAAAGTAGGCTTGTCTTTAAAGAGCATAAACCCTGCTCAAAGTCCATTACCCGAAATCAAAAGTCCTGCGTCAACTAGTTTATACGCGTACACTAATTTGGAACGAGTTCCTGGATACAAATAAGACGATTTATACGTATAATCCTACACGTAATTTGTATAATCATGACAATCACTTGACAATAAACGATTTACTAAGACCACGACTCTAATTAAACGTTATATTTAATCTTCATACGTACAACCCCACGTTAAGATTTAACACTTCAGCAGAGAATGTTTTCCTTACATTAAAGAATTAACGAAGTTCAGCAAGCGCAATTGAATATTATTATTCACTACTCGGTGAAAAGTAAATTTCTTGTTAAAAAATCATTATAATTGGATTAATACGTGAATATATTTAATAGCGGATATAATTAATAGCGACACAATTATATCGATTAACGCCACTTGTACCGGTGCGAATACAAATCACGCTTAACTTATTAATAGTGTACAGGTCAATGGAATTATGTGTACATCGAGCTTGTCATTAACTTGAGATAAAATCGCCACAATTACCGATGTCGTACAACTAGAAATGGATATAGATCACATGTTAGTAGTATTTTTAATTTTACACCACCTTCGAGAAAATTGCACTTTATTTAGTGCGCTGTCTAGTAAGTAAATAAATAATCTAATCATTGTTGCATATACGTCTAAGTAAAATACGATTAAAGTAGAAATTATTTCATACTTTTTAACGCGTTTCCAAGTCGGTAATATCTTTTTAACAAACGAATCTCTTATTTCACATTTTTTATCGAAGCGATCGATATTACAGAAGCAACGTAAAAATAGTTTGAATTATCATCGTTATAAAACGGTAATTTATTTCCATCTATTTATTATTTACATCGAGTCTCAATTCCTATTAACGAACGAGCGAATAATCATCTCGTGGTGAAGGTAAACTTACGCCCGAAAACGAAACCTTAGAACAGTGAAACGCAATTTCAAAACGCCCACCCAGGCTACTGTTTTCGGAATCTGTTTACTCTGTGTTTCACAATGGAATATCGATGTAAAAGGATATATCCACGACGGATTAGATACTTTCCGGACAGACGTCGTATAGTTGAAAAAACTGAAATACAATTTTCTCTTCTACGTAATTAATATAAGCAACTTAATTGTGTTTCTGTTTACCGTGTGTAACTATGTATATGTCATCTGTAAAACGAACCTTCCTAGTTACGTATACGTCGTGTGCTTAACCTATACTATAACTATAACTATAGGTAAGTCGTTAGTTGTAATTTCTATTTCTTGGTAAAAATTAATTGAATGTTTGATTATAATTAATATTTTAATGGGAGGTTTTCAAACTTCAACCGCGATGGAAAAACATACTTTGACAGGAGATTCTCGGACTTCAATGGAAATGGATTTCACCAGTTCCTAATGAGCTCTCAATGTATTTTTTGTAACAGACTTTGAGTTTCAAATATGGCTCTGCGTCTGGATTACGAATAATCGAATAAACTAAGGAAGGAGGGCATTTAAATTTTCTCTTTTTACTCGCATTGCAATGATGATCTCGGTAAATGATCTGTGTATCAATTAGTTTCTGCTATTTTCTGTATCATTAAGATCGGAGATCTTTCAAACATTTATTGAAAATAGCTTCGAACAAATAGTAGGCAGTGAAAAAAATTCCAATAAAATTCCGATAAAATTCAACAATACGCTATAGTAAGTATCGAGATTTTAATGTGTACGGAAATAAATACAGAAGTTGTAAATAAATACGGAATTTTTACTTCCGAAAAGTTTATTTAGGCCATACGAAGTATTGATATAATACAGTACAATAAATTTTTGTAAATACTTATATAACAAACAGTTTTTGTTTATTATAGTGTAATTGTTATATATAATAATACATTTTTATATAATAAACAAAAAATGATACGAACTAATAAACAAAACAAAATTGGAACGTGTTGCACCGACCTCGGCAATATTGCAATTCTTTTCATCCTTTGATATTATTTTCGCTCGATCGACGTGCGCCAGGACCTCCCTGGCTGGTCCGGGGACAAACCGACTGACCAATTAAATTGAATCGCATAGTTGGTGCGATTAACTTTGAAAAGTAATAGAGACCAAGAATGCGTAGAACAATTTATTGGAAAAACAAGGAAAATGTCATGAAAATTTCTAGAAATTTACGATCTTCAAACACGAATCGAAAGTTTCAGATAAGTTACGTTTGATTAAGCATCAATTTACGCTATACGGACCGTCACGTAATGGCAACGTAATGTACCAGCATCGGCAGGACGTTGAAACGTATATTTTAAATGGAGCCGTTCGCGTTATCCGAAAACAACGAAGGATCATAGCAAATCGTAAAGAACAGAAGAGAAAGATGAAGAATTATAAAGAACACGTAAACATAGAAAGAACGAAGGCTCATAAGGCAAACATCTGGAATAAGGAAAACATCTGAAAAGCATGATACGAAAAAAGGTCAGTTTTTGTTTTAATAGAGTAAAAGCTGGCCACTTCCGGCCTCGCGCATCTTCTCCTTCATAACAGGTGTTAAGCCCCCCTCTACCACTGGTTGCTCCTTTAAACACTAATGCAACACTGGGATGTGGCATGGGGTGGTATCTCACACACGATAGGTAGAAACTAGAACCCCCCACTCGTAGACTATGGGACAAGCAAAACAGGGTGCCTCTGCGCCTGCGGTACTCCTGGCGAACGTTTATATATTACCTCCACCCTCTTGCCAACCAAATCAGAGATCAGTGAAGTCGCCGTCGTGATTACTCGGAGGACACTCATATCGTTTCCTCTACTTTCCCGATCTTGAAATTTTGTGACATTTACGTAAAGCAAATATCATTCGCAGTTATTCGAAGAGACTCTGCATTTTGGGGCATACATACGTTGGAGAACAAGCAAGCTTTATCTGTCAATGTGGTCAAGAATTTCGTTGATTCCAACCTTCGTCAAAAGGTGAGTTCGATTATCCTTATCGTAAAGAAACAAATACAAAAAGAAAAAGTATTTGCACGTCATTGTATTTATTATTATAGCATTTACGTATTAATTAATTAAGCTCAGGTATATTAAACTTCGCGTGATTAGCAAAATTGAATACTTTAATATGAAAATGAAACGCAGAACCTGATAGAAAAAAGGTTTTATTAGAAAATAAGAGTAAGATAATAATAGTTTGCAAATACTTTTTGTAGCCACTGTGTACCGGTTCTGTGTCAAATTCCCCTTTATCTCTTCAGTTGATTTCTTAGTTTTTAAAATTAGCCAGTTTTCTATTTTGATATTTTCTTCTTTTTTTTTTTTTTTTTTGTCCTGAGAAATTGATCAGTTTTCGAGCGAAAGACACGAAAATGTCACATAAATACCGGAGATTTCAACGATTTATGAAAAACAGGCACCCTTCTTAGATAGTAGCAATCGAATCAGACAGAAAATCATGGATTGTGAAAAGATAAACATCAATCGTGTACTCTGGTATTAAAATTCCGGAATTTACAAAAATTTGACCAGTTTCGTCTCAGTGATTGTCAGTGTGAGTGATTCGAGCTTTTACCTAAAAAAATAATTTCTCTTTTCGTATGCATACATGAAATACTTCGAATGTGAAAAAGTTTGAATATGCAATCGAAGAATCACGCGATCTTTTAAACTCGATGATACGCGTTTAATCAAATTAAGTAAATAGTATCTTGATCTTCTGAAAGATATCCGCTAAAACATTCGTATTATTATGCTAAACAAAGATTCAAACGTTTGTTCCTAAAATACTTTTTACGGACCTAAAACTAAATAATGAAATTATTTCAGAATAATGGAGTCTACAGCTGTGTTCAGGGCCTACAACAAAGAAATCTTACGCCTGATCATGATCGAACAATTATCAATAGCCCTAATCCATATGTGCGTTGAAAATGGTGACGTGACGATTAAATCCACCACGTCTGTCAAGTTTCGCAAAATATGTCACGAAGAAAACCAACTTTTGCATCTGGTCGGTCATTTAATCTCTCCAGACGAAATTCTCATTCCTTTCACAAGACGCTTCTCTGAATTCTTAAACATCGATGTTCGTTCCGTCACTGAATGTATCGAGAACATCTTCAGCTCAACTTGCGACCTTGTTGTAGACTTTGACTTACAAAAATTGATACAGCTGTCCAAGAAACGAGATGGTACGATCAAAGATATAATAACAGAGATGTTCTGGCTACCAAAAATGAACAGTAGACTAGGAAACGGAAGTTGGTTCGACTCAGTCGATCGAGGACATGTAGTTCCTTTTTACATGACTTCTTGCGGTCAATTAAGCGATTTTATTGGAGATTATTTCAATTACTTTCACGTAATTGAACAATCAAGTAGAAAAGTAATAAAGTGGTATTTTTTGGATATTAATATCTTTCTTGCGCAAGACACTGATTCGTTGTATGAAAAGATGGAAGAAGAGAAAGACAATAAGCAAACGAGAAAGCTTACTATATTGAAAAAGATAGACGGCGGTACGACGCATCACACGGTTCACGTGATTCGTTATTTCTCTAAAAAATGCAAATCGGAAGATGACAGTATTGTCCACTTACTTAGAAACCCTTTCTTACCCACCGACCAACTTCCCTTTATCACACAGAGCTATGATCCACGAATTTCGAAATACGTGTTTCATATAGCGTATAAGGATAATATCGAAATGACTAACAAGAATTTTTTTAACCTGCTGTCCATGCTACGAGACATTTTGTACAAACTGAATATTGTCTCCATCGTGATACAGAATTGCGACTCTTTCAATTTGCAGAATGTTTTATATATGTTCGAGCACATTTTGTGCAAAGAGGATATCGCTGTGACGATCGCAGGAATGTAGAACCGTCAATCGTGCCTCGGTAAACGATCAATTTTCTTTTGGAAGAATTAAGAATGATGATTTAGAGTTTTGATTAATGCGATTTTGATTAAGCATCCGCCTCTACGTTACAAAAACGATTCTTAATCGCGGTACAAAGCTTTAAATTGGGATAAGTTCGACGAATATTTACTTAACGAATTATTCACTTAATTATTTTCTAACTAGGTTTTATGCTACCTTTACTGTGATATTATTATATTTTAATCTTAAATATCATATATAAATTTCATATTATAAATATCATATATAGACACGGAAATATAGTAGAAAGAATTATTTTATTTGTATAGACAGATTCCCTAAGAAGTAAAACCGATACATTCTGCTTTTTTACAAATTCCTCAATTTCAGTACCAACGTACATATATCATTGATGCTTGGCATTTTATAAAGGAAATAATCTGGTTAGTTTGAATTCTATGTGATTCAATTAGTATTACTCAAAAAGGAGCCCTTTCCTTCGTAGATCAATGAAATCTTATAATTATAATCTTATTGTAAACAATAAATCACAGGCATATACGACACGTGTGCGTGCCCATAGGAATATGTGTACCTGAAAAACAAGTCCAATCTAAATGTCAGTTAAAATACAAGTGCTAGACTTGTTAACAAATTTCTGTGTACATGTCAAATTATGTGATAATTGTATATTGTAATGTATATGGTGTAATTGAAATTTAAGGAAATTGAAAATAATTCGACTAACTCTATTATGATGTTCGCTAATGTGCTATCATACCGTATATATCTCTATATGAAAGTATTTTCATTAAAAGAATGCTATTTTTTGAGAAAGCGAATTTGCACTGTGATGTGATATCGATGTAAGAATTGAACAAGGATCGGAATTAGCTCTTTCCCAGTTTACTTGTTTTTAAGAAAAATGAAAGCTGACACAGCTAACACAATAATAATCAAAGCTAATACAAAGAGCTGATATTTCCTAAAATATTTATAATTATAATTTTACGTTCATAATTATATATATCCATATATATATGAGAAATATTATAAAATGTATAATTATATCGATATATATTTATGATATCTATATATATATCTATATATATATATATATCTATATATCTATATATATATATCTATATATATATATATATATTATATATATATATATATATATATATATATATATATATATATATAGATATGATTATATATATATATATATATATATATATATATATATATATATATATATATATATATATATATATATATATATATATATATATATATATATATATATATATATATATATATATATATATATATATATATATATATATATATATATATATATATATATATATATATATATATATATATATATATATATATATATATATATATATATATATATATATATATATATATATATATATATATATATATATATATATATATATATATATATATATATATATATATATAATTATTACATATATATAGATATCTATATATAGATATATATATAGATAGATATCTATATATAGATATATATCTATATATAGATATATATATAGATAGATATCATATATATATATAGACATATATATATATAGATAGATATCTATATATAGATATATATAGATATATATATAGATAGATATCATATATAGATCTATATATAGATATCTATATATAGATATATATATAGATAGATATCATATATAGATCTATATATAGATATCTATATATAGATATATATATAGATAGATATCATATATAGATCTATATATAGATATCTATATATAGATATATATATAGATAGATATCATATATAGATCTATATATAGATATCTATATATAGATATATATATAGATAGATATCATATATAGATCTATATATAGATATCTATATATAGATATATATATAGATAGATATCATATATAGATCTATATATAGATATCTATATATAGATATATATATAGATAGATATCATATATAGATCTATATATAGATATCTATATATAGATATATATATAGATAGATATCATATATAGATCTATATATAGATATCTATATATAGATATATATATAGATAGATATCATATATAGATCTATATATAGATATCTATATATAGATATATATATAGATAGATATCATATATAGATCTATATATAGATATATATATAGATATCTATATATATATATTTATATATAGATATCATAAATATATATCGATATAATTATACATTTTATGATATTTCTCATATTTTCTGAACTTTTTCAATTATAAACATATTTTCATATTACGTATTTTGGTAGTCAAATATATTGGTGAAAATTTCTCTTAGTATTGCAAAAATCGGGGAAGGGATTCGTATATTTTCTTAAATACTTTACAAAGAGTACTAATCTTAGAAGAAAAAAGTAGGCAAGACGAAAGATATATATTTTTCATATTGTGAACGTTTTAGATTCTTTAAGAAAAGACTATTCCGTTCGAAATATGATTATATACAGCACTGGTAGAATCTCTTAGATGACGAAGAAATATCTTTGCAAAAAAATTGAAAATAAAGCAGAACAAATATCTTGGATCAACAAAATTGATAGAAAATCATATTCAATTTCCTGAGTGTTAAATGTTGGTGACTTGAGTTACAGCTGATACACATGAGCGATACGACATCGTAATGGTGTTGCTGTGCGATTGTCACGGATAGAAAATGTGAAAATCGCTCGTGTGCACTACACGATTAAAGATAGGTATATGTACATGTATGTGTTAGGTGCCGAATCGCATGGTGAAATCGCGTCGCTTGTGTGCATCGGATCTCAAATATAGTTTTTATGTAAATTTCAGATCTTCTCTTACGATAAATCATCTCAAACCGATGAATATTAATTATCGATCAATGGATGTTGTTATAATTATTACATATATGTACTATATACATATATGACTAAAATTGTATTCGATAAATGTAATCAGTAAAGTTTTTTTCTCGAATCGTATGAAATAATTTTATTACTACTACCTGATCGATTTTTCCATTTCCTCTATACATATATTATATTTTCTCTTTTTCAAACGTAATCTCTATCTACGTTAGAGATTAAGTTTGACAAAAATGGAAAAATGTCCCGCAATTGTATAAAATTGTATAAAATTGTATAAAATTGTAAGAAATTCGTTGTTAAACAGTTCGTAAAGTAGTAGCAAAAGTTGATTTATTCTTTTTCTCTAAAAAGTTCAAGACAAAGGGGAAGCAAACGCGTAACACAGAAAATCGAACGAGCACCAATTAAACGTGGCCCGTTTGCACATTGAGATCCAATCGTATTTAGCTGTCAACTACGCAACCTGCCCACAGTCAAAGAGGAAATAGCAAAATATAGCGATAGATATAGCGAAAGAGTCAACAAACATCGAAACCCCCTAATTAATGGATTACTCGATACGTCGAACCAGATCCGCAGGCTGAAGAGACATTACCTGTTGAACCTAAACGCTACATTTAATTAGATATTTATATTAATTTATATTTATTTATAACAAGTACTTATAAATCACACTTGTCTATAATAAGTATTAACTTATTACAAATAATTAGCCATGTCACTGCGCCACGCCAGAAAAAATTACTGCAAATTCTCAATGCGAGAATTGATTGTAAATTTTAATAAATAAATAAAAAAAAGAAAAAAAAAACTATACAACTGTACACACGCTCGCACTTTGAAGTTCGCGCTTAACTTGCGTGCAACAAAGGATTAAATATATATATATGTATAATACTTTATAATATCAAGTATGACGAAATCCACAGCGATGGAAAGACAGGATTTATACTGTGCGTCCTATAACTACCTAATGAACTATTTTTCCCGAAATTAATTATATACAATACTATCTTTACTTTGCTTTTCTTCTTACTTTTATTATTTAATACTTTTTTCTTCTGTCGTTTCTTTCATTTCATTTCTTCGTAGAATCTCTCCTTCCCTTTTCTTCCACAGTTTCTTCCTTCGCTTCTGTCTTGTTTTCTTCTCCACGTCTCTTCGCCTTCTTCCTTCCATTTTCTCATCTTCTCCTTTTCCTCCTATTTCCTCCCTTATCCTTTTCTACCTATTTCCATCAATTCCTCTTCGTTCTGTCGTCTTTCCTCCATTTACTTCATCCCCTTCCGTTTCCTTCTGGTCCTTCCTTTTCCGCCTCTTATCCGTCTGCAGAATCATTGCGACAGAAGGAAACGTCAACTTCGGCAGATCAAATTCGTCCAACTTCGTTCCGACTACAAATGCGAAAGGTGCGCAACGACTAATGGGAAATACGAGGAAAGCAGCGATATCTTATTTTTGGGAAACCCGAATTTCGTGACCAGACCGAGAGACACTACTCGGAACATAGTAACGCAAACTCGAGCAGACTGGTCTCTCGCTTTAGCCGCGTAACGAGTTTAATAGAATAACACACTTCGATAACACGAACCACTCATGCTACGGATTACGGTCGTTGAAGTGTCAAAGTAACAGCTTAATTCGGCCAGCTTACACTGGGTCACATCGTTAATCGTATAATTTTATTTTCAATGGAAACCAACGTTTGAACCAGTTTCCACCGATCAAAAAATTATCATCTATCAAAGAGTATCATTAAAGAGTAAAAAAAAATACTTTGTACTATGTTACAGAAGTTCAACAGTCAATAGAGTCTAACGAAGATGAATAGTCAAAAGGAATCTTTTTCTCGTTCAGTTGCGTTCAGTTTAATGAGGCAATTCATGAAAGTTGCCACGACTCTCCTAATCGTCAAACTATGAAAATTACATGCGATGTACACGCGCATTACGCGTACCTGTGTATATGTATATGTGTATATTATATATATATATATATATATATATAGTTTCATAGTTTGATGTGTATATTATATATATATATATATATATATATATAGACATGTTGAGCTACGTCGTAGGACAAAGATTATATCGAATTAGCAAACACAAGCACGGTTGCGCGAACTGTCACTGATATAAAGGAGCTTTCAACTGCTACGAGGTCAATCTAGTGGTTAAACACGTTGCAACAACATGCACGTCGTATTAATCCCATTTTTTCTAGGTCGGTAAGCCAATTAATTTTAATCAGTATTACAGCCTGCACTAGCACACCTTCTCACACAGACCAATTTATATTTTGCCGGTCCCATCCTTAATGCATGAAACATTGAAGAATCGATCTTATCGATTTGTAATGAAGGAACATCGATTCGATGGTCAAAAACGAAAAACACATACGTTATATCGGTTTTAGATATTTAGAATCATGTTCCTACTGCGTCTATACCAAGTGTCCTATTAATATTATTATTAAGTCAGGAATTAACGTTACAAATGTCAATAGTCAATTTTTGATTGAAATGTTCTCTAAAGTAATCAAATTCTACGTCCACGAGATCTCATCTTACAATCTTCTTCGGGTTTCTGAAATATGTACAGATCCTAATATTTTTTTTCTTTTTGTTTTCTTTTTTAGTAGAACACGTAGCGATGTAGACTAAGCTTGCACACTGTATTATTTACGAAGTAGAAACGATTACGTATTTTACAACATTATTTATCTCGATCAAAACTCTTACGATCATCTACGATACAACTGAACCATCGCTTCTTTATAATATATATATAATATTCTTTATAATATATTTAATATATATATAATATATAATAATATTCGTTGATAACAAAACGCTCAATTGCACCTCATTTTACTCTAGTGATTTTAAATAAAATGATTTTGAATAATACGATGACTTTTAAGAGTCGATCCGGCCCTGATAAAAGAACTAATCTCGTCGATATTTCCTTTATTTAGCGGCCAACGTCACTACGTTCGATTCACGTGCCTGGGTATACGGTCCAGAATATGTGTTCGACGTGAATATCACACACGCATTGTCCGATGGTCTATTAGGCGATGCACTCTTCCAAACAAGCGTAACAACAACACTAAAATGTCGTCCAAAATCAATGGATCAGTTACTTTGTCATTTCGAAGGTATCACGGTCGAGGATATGAGCGGAGGTCACATCGAACTAGGAGAGATAGGAACTCCATTTGTAATAGAGTTTAGTCCACGAGGAATCGAAAATATCGGATTTTCATCAACGATCAACAAAAAAAAACTTAATATCCTTCGAAAAATCTTCAAAGAATTAAGCACCGAAATAGATCTAAGCAAATACGCGAACGTCGTATTGCCGTATCTCTCGTACGCAGGGGACAAAGATTACCCGTTAAACGACTGTTCCTCTTTGTTCGTCATTTACGAGTTCTACGATTCTGACGATCTCCATAGAAGTAACCGAGAGGAGAGTTACGATCGATCTAAGAAACGGAATTACAATTTGGAGGTTATGTCGTTACCAAATCGAAGTACGGACAAGACTGTTGTATTTGAGAAGTGGACAGACAAACGCAATAGCAAATGTCATCCGACATTGCGGAAAACAATGACGAATTTTGAAATTGTATGTGTCAAAAATTAGCCAATTTTATAATCAGTAGACTGCCGTACGTTTGTGCATTTATGGGATATTTAAAAACGTGAAAGTTCATAGAACGTACATGGCACGTTGAGTGATACGAGGATCATAGCGAAAAAAGTATGATAAGCAATTTAAAAGTTAGTCTTGTCGAAAATGTCGACTGTCGTAATATTAGATGTACCTTTGGTCGTTTTATAGAATTTCATAAATTTATTAACTTCATAGATTGTTTATATTTTTAGAAAACTTTACTATCTTTGGATCTAAGACGTTCAAAGAGGCGTCGTTTCAAGGCGTACGTTTCTTTTAATCGCGTCCGTAAAAAAATATGAATTTCTATGATCTAATAATTGGAATGTAATTAAAAAGGTGAAATTTAGATAGAAAATTATATTACCAACTAAACGTTACAGGGTTTACTATGCTCTGGCTGTTTTATATATTTTTTCCATTTTTTCCCATAACTACGAAAAAAAACCGCAGATTACTGATAATTATTGTGTAAATAAAATAGAGAGTTAACGCTTATCTTTTCCAGGACGAATATATCAGCAGAATGTATATCAATAATAACACGTTTGAGAGTGAAACTAGGATAAGCCAGAGGGTGTCGAACAACATAGCCAAAAGGAATTTTACCCTGCAGGATATTACTTCCGTGAAACTACTTGGCATAAAACCCGCTACGGATCTACTGCCGTTTATCAATTTCGACAAATTTGAGAGACTACATCCCATAGAAGCAATGGACAACAACAATAATAATAATAATTAGATATTAAAACTCCCGTAGAAGATTGACGTTACTCTCCGTATAGGAGGATAGAAATATCGTAAAGGAACTGTAATCAAATTATATGCAATAAAAACTCTTAACTCTATGTAACTCGAATACAATTCATTGCACGAAAGAATAACTAGATTTTTGAATTTGGTACTGTTAAGATGATCTACGACTCCGAGATCGATCTCGCTTAACTGATAATGTGAAACTAGCTACGGTCGATATAGTAGAAAACACTGTGCCCCTTATCAAGTTGCTTTCCAAAAACGAATTACATTTATTTTTAAAATTCGAATTAAAATTACGCTGATCACTATTAAATGGAATAATGTCCATATGATAGGGCAAATTAAATTAAATATACCGATCGAAATTTCGTTAATATACTCTTTACAAAGATTGTGATTATTATTCGAAAGCACTTTATCAGAGAAAATATATTTTAAACGATGTAATCGTAGAATCAATGGAAACGTTATAAGACCCCGAATTTCGTTTTATATCACGAGAGTTGCGAGTTACCCCAGATCGAAGTAGCATAATTTGCGATTACAACGTCAGTGGAGGGACGGCTTAATTAAATTACACGACGAGGTCGTCAGAGTATATCGGCGATATAAAAGGACCTTCAAGCCGAAGAAGAGTGTTAAACCAGTTGAGAGCAGTGCTACGACATGCTCGCCTCATTAATCCCGTTCTTCTTAGGTTGGTAAGCCAATTTTCCATTTAACTATGTCTTTATCGTCAATCTGTCTGAATCGGGCCAGTAACTGCTTATGCAAACGATAATTCATAACTAATTGCAAATCGTAACTTCCTTCGTTAGCGCATGAAAAAACGTATACAGGCGTTAAACGCTTGAAAACGATATATTAAATAACTATTTATCATTTATAACTATTTATTTATAATCGTTCGCTCATTCGCTTATTCATAACGTACGACTCGTTTTGCTGATAAAATTTTCAAATTAGAAGGAATATTAAAATAAAAAGGAAAAATTAGAATTGTTCGTGCTTCCGTCGTCATTTTGTTATGTAGAGAATGTGCTTTAATAATAATCTAACACGTCTGAACCGAGAGACTAATATTAAAATTTCTTAAAATCGAGAAGATCGTTAAAAAAAAAAAAAGTAAATGTACTAAAATAACTCGTGAAAAGAAACTAACGACAAAAATGTCGAGTTCCGCTTGCGTTGAAAGAAGAAACCGTGATTGTGTCAACTAGAGTAAGTGCTGTTTAGCCTAGTTCAGTGTTTGAGAATTAACGTCAAGATTTATTAAATATCCTGAGAAGTAAATCGTCTAAACTAGAACTAATCTAATTAAAGTGTATAACGAAAAGTTCGAATTCTGTGTGACAATGAGTTAGAAGCTATAACTGTACCAATTGGAGCAAGTGTATCGAGTGCAAAAGTAGAATATATTAAAAATTATCAAAGATAAATCGACTGACATAAAATACAAGAAAATTAATAATAAATACTTGCAATGCCATGCGTTTGCGCTGAATTATATAAAAACTGTGTCTAACAGAATATTTAATAAAAATTTCAAAGAATTCAGGGAAAAAGAATCGACGAACGAAATTAACTGATCTAACGTATGAAAGAATTAACAACGATACTCTAACGTGCGTCGAACGATTATTCGAAATTATTCGAGAATTTTATCGTTTTTCAGTGGTCCGGGTGACGGTCGACGAGAGCGTCTGGAAATATGGACCAGAGTACGTGTTCGACGTAGAGATGAACGTTACTTCGACTCCGATGAACCACGATGGAGTTCAAACGTCGAACTATACAGTGATGAACCTCTTCTGTAGACCGATAGGCCCTGATGGATTGTTCTGTCATTTGGGAAACGTCAGACGACAAAGCATTGACATCACCAACGACAATAAAATCGACATACCAGAGGAACAATCGAGACACCTAATGAGCGAGGAGCCATTCGAAATAAAATTCAGCGAGAACGGCATCGATCGCTTGACGGTGAACGATCAAGTCGAAGTTGAACATTTGAATAATATTAAATTGATCGCCGAACGATTTAATATCGGAGTGAATTTGAATGGCGTGCCCGATGGAACGTTCCACATTACGGAGAACACGACGATCGGAGAATGTGGCGTGACGGTTGCGATAAATCACTATCCCTCCAAGAGAATGATGAACAAGATAAAGAACGACAAATACGATCTGCAATCTCTGCCACGATTGAACAAAGTTCCCAGCGAGACTATACTGATCCAGAAGACGACCAATCTGAATAATTGCAGCTACTACGCATCCTTCTACTTTGGATCTTATGGTGCCAATACCGTGGTCGAAGCGGATCTCGATTCGCATCTAGTGAGCGACTATTTTCCATGATATTCGAAGATTTAAAAGAAATTTCTTTCCTTTTAGTTTTCGTCAAATTTGTAGAAATTATTCTAGAATTATTCGAATATTATTCTTTGTAATTTGCGATTGTGTGATTCTTTGTAAATCTAATCTTCGTAATTTTATAACTCGGTTTGTAAATTTACCATTAGCCGTACTTTTGTAAGTTCAATCTTATTGGCAATCTCGTAATTTCTTGGAAATTGATGCTTGCAATTTTCTAATTCCTCGTAGATCTGACGTTGCTATTAGTTTCGCGATTCTTTGCACTTTTATTGCGATGCGAGAAAGTTATATCGTACGAGAAACATGACAATTAAAAAATTAGATGCTATAACGATTCTTCTCTCGTTTCTAGGAGAGTTCGACTACGCGTGTCTTCGTGAGCGACTATCAGTTCGTCTCGTCGATAACAAGGATGGGCACTTTGGGCACGGAAAAGAAGAAACTGTCGGCTATGACGCAGTACGTAAGTCTGTCTCTGAAAGATATTCGAGCAGCCAAACGAGAATTGGTCGAAATTCCTAATTCATCGATAACTACCATCGTGGCGAATTCAGAGACGAAGAGGATATTTCCGATGAAATGAATGGTTTTTCCGATAATTTCAAATACAGTTATAGATTAAAAAGACAAAGTATAATCTGTCGATGTCAAGCTGTAAGTTAAAAGCAGACAACATATTAATGTACCATAGAATGTTTTGTTCAATTTATGATAAAAAAAATAAATGGAAGATAATAAATATAATCTCGTATCGAAATACCTAAAATCTCTCCTATTATGTATCCTAGTTTATCAGCATCATATATCATTCACCTTAAATAATGCGTTTAACATTTACATTTTTAAAGTCTTACACAAATCTTATTAGATAAATTTTTTTTTATTTAAATTACGGATACATTAAATTATATATCTACGGTGACCCACACACGTCTATGTACGCACAGAATATCGTGTGTATGTAAACGTATACACATCTGTTTTCTCTAGTTCAGCGATCATTGTAAGTTGAAATTGATTGACGAATCGATTAAAACAAAAATACAGGGAAAAAGAACTCTTAGCGTAACGTGATTCGTGATCTTCCTCCCGCGTCCACGCGTGTCTTTCTTTCTTCTTTTTTCTCTTTTTTTTCTTTTTTTTTTTTCTTTGTTTCTTTTCCTAATCTAAGTTTCGCCTTAGGGAACAGAGCAAAATTTCTCTCTTCTTGCTAAATCTTAAATCTAGGTGCTCGGATTGCAAACGGCCCTCTTTTAAAAGACTTACGTCCCGATACTCGCGAACATTACAGAAGAGAATATCGAAACGCGTTCTTCAGCGTTTTGAACGTTTCTAAATTTCTTTCTCGTCCTTCGAATTCGATTATCTCGACTCAGGATACACGGAATGTAATTTCGTATCCTGATACTTCAGAAACAAATGCAGCCTGGTACGAGTGTTATCTATGGAATGGATAACGTAACGCGCGATTTCATCCAACAATCGAAAGGATAATTTGATCCTCGATTAAGAAACGCTTAGCTTGTGTCCTGTTTCTTTGAGAAACTTGTCTTGTTTCCTTTTGTTTCCACGTAGGAATGGCCCAAGCATCGATGGATTGCACGTTCGATATTTCATTTTCAAGTTACGATCGATCTTCCCAGTACGATCCTTTTTCTCGTACGATTCATCGATTAACCAATCGACTTTTAATCTTGATTTAATTGAGACCTAAAGAACATATAGTCGTATAGTCGCAGTAGAAAATGCACTTAGATTCTTCCTCGAATACACAGCGCGGTCCCTAAAACGTCTAAAAGCTGAACTTTCCGTACCAAGCTCTCGACAAGGTTCTCTTAAAACTTGTCGTTTCTCGCGATCGCGTCGCGCTTATTCGTCGCATATAATGCGCAAAATTTCTTCTCTAATAAAACAGAGGAAAAGAAGACGGTACAACAAGTACAAAGTAGATTCGGTCGATCGACTTTTCGCCAAATGATATTTTCCAACTACGAAAGAATGAATGAGACGTTCAGACGAATGAGACGTCGTTGCGATTTTGCATCGACGATGTACGAATTGACAGTTTAATCGTTCGATTGGAAAGGCGCGTGAATTTTCTGTAGCAAGTTCGAATTTGGCGCGCTACGCGAAGTTGCGACAACTTCGCGTCGCTCGATTACACCAGCCATTGATTCCTTGATTTCCTTGTAACAGCGAAATGTTATGGCTTTGGAAATATCAATCTGTCGAATCGTACGATATCGCTGCAAAGTGATTCGATGCGAAACTGCGTTGATAAAAGATTCGTACGATGCAAAATTGCAACGATATCGCGTAGTTCGTCTGCAACGAACCTAACTCGCACGCTCTTTCGGCTACAGAGTGCGCTTCGTTGCGTCGGAATACGCGCGCCAAATATAAAAAAACGCGTACGACCAAGAGGAACCAGCGTTGTTTCGTCGCTCGCTGTAGAACGTAGGTTAAAGCGTCCTCTTCTTTCTTTTTTAAATACGTAAGTACGTTTTGTTGGAATCGATCGTTAAATATTACAACAAGCATCCAATCACGATTACGATTTCGATATTTATAATGGCACGATTACAATGATCCTTGTGCGTTCATTTCGTTCGTCGACGATATATGGAATTGGTTCACGCGTCGCATCGATAGTATTCACCGTGTTAAATCATGGCGAATGACTGGGTACAACACGAAAATGAAAAAAAGCTCGACAAGTCACAAATTTACGACGATAGTTTCAGTTCTTATACGTTCTCTTTTGTATGTTGCCTTCGATTGGTATTATTCTTTCTTTCTTTCTTTCTTTTTTCTTTTTTTTTTTTTTTTTTAATTAAACGAATCCAAATATCGCGTATAATTCGTCTTCAGACGTATCGTTCGATGAAAATGAAATATTTACCTGAAAACGATACGAACAATTTTTTACGATCTATTTAGAGATGAACATTAGGAAATGGTACCTCGCGATATAAGTTTCGTATAAAGCCGTTTGTTGTTTCTTTCTTTCGCTAGATGCATAGATACAACGTTTTCCTAGAGGTTTCGTTTCGTTCGAATTGCTCGCTTGATTGACTCATCTATCGAAGACATTGTCATTGTGAAGTTTTGACAATTTTCACACTCGCGGTATCAAACACGTGTACACATCTCAAATGTATATGTATATATGATCTAAGAATGTAAATATATGTATATATGTATATATAATCGACAATTTGAAAGCCACGTATATCCGGTATACGCGAATTATTTCGTCCCCTCGAGTTACCGAAGTCTCTTAACGTTCAGATATTTCGTATAAGATCGTGATCGTCGTATCGAATCTTCCTCTTATCGTCGATACCATTGACAGACAGACATCGTTACAAAATCGATTTATACAAATCTAAAAAATGATCACGGTTACAAATATTGAGAGAGTGAGACGAGGGATATGATTGCGGAAACATTCGGAGAAGGAGAAATCCCATATCACAAACCACGGTGCACGGTACATACTCGGCGAACAATCAGCGATCGATAAGCAACATTATATCTCGTCGAAACATGTTTCCTTTCCGCAAAAAATGGGGGAAAAAAAATTGTTATCTAAAGCGTCGTCCGAACCGTCCGATTATGACAAACACTTTCCACTTGTATCCTCGTACGATTCTTACTGAAAGCTCGCTAGCAAAAGTCTACGTGACGATCTGTCCTCTACCTTCTTCCACTCTATCTACTAAAAAAATTTCAAAAACCACCATTTGGAAAATCACTTTCGTCGCATGCTCTGAATCAAACCGAATCTTGCGAAGTATCTGCCTAACTAGCGGACGACGTGAAAAGAACGCGTTCGTTTAAATCGTCGTCTCTCTATATTAAGCGATTTTTTCCTCCCCTTCTCTCGGTTCGCTATTTCTCCATTTTCCTTTTCTTTCTTCTCCATTCTTTTCTCTTTTTTTCTTTCTTTCTTTTTTTCTTTTTTTTTTTTTTTGTCGCTCCGGTCTTGGAAAACAAACTACTCTAACCTAGGTGTATATACAATTATTACGCTCGTAGAAGAGACACGGCGCGCAAACCGTGGCTCAGTCGACACAGTTCCTGCCGTGCACAGCGAAAACATCGTACGCGGACGAATCGCAAGCGGCGCGACATTATTGACCGTTGTTCGCAATGTTGTTCTGCTGCTTCACGGAATCCATATTGGGGATGTAGTCCATCGCCATCAGACAGGCAAACACAGTCATCACCATCTTCGGTTTCACCTCGGTTATGTCCTCTGGCAGCGCGTACACGCGTGCGCCGCATTTTCGGGCCAAGGATATCGCGTACTTCGCGTTGTCCAGGTTGTTCTGCGTTAAGAAAAAATGAAATTCGCGTGAATTAGTGCGTTAATTTCGTGTAAGCGAAACGATCGTTTGGATGGTTTGTTTGTTTCGTTTCGTTCATCTTCCAGAATGTTCGAATCGTTTGGGTTTTAGACTTTTGATGCAAATCTCTTCGGTTTGTGAAAAATGTGAAAGAATCGTTTTGCGTATATGGTTTTTCGCTTCTACTTCGCGGTAACTTATTTTTTAAAACATCAGGTCTTTCTATTTTTGAAACGATACAGATACTCGGATATAAATATTCAAAGACCGCAGCTAGATTAAACGCGATTTTGTAATTCGAATTGTATATTTAAAACATCGAAATTCATGTAAATTTTATTATTATCTCTTTTAACTTCACCTTCGGACAGGTTATATTATATTACGTAAGTAAGAAAATAACGTTCGTATATCAGGCAAATTATGCTGCATTTTGTAGGTCTTTAAAGTCATTTAATACCACAGATACCACAGTCCATAAATGGCTTGCAATATTTTCTAAGGCAATGGCAAATTGTTCTATGCAAATCAACAAAAATTCCTCGATGATTATTTCGAAACTATACAAAAAATATTCCGATATTAAGGAAGACTCGTTTGTAATTTTCCACCGACCGTGAGTTCATTCCAGAGAGAAAAGTTCGCAACAAGAAACGACTTCGTCGAACTCTAATTGAAGACGTTCGCGATCTCAACAACTTTAAAACCAACAAATCAACCAAATTCTATTCCCTTAAAGCGACAATCCCTACGGCTCACCTCTTCGGTTCCACCTTCCTTCACGAGGTCATAGTTCACAGACCCCGGCTTAATGGCGTCGATAAGATCGATCACCACCTTTCCATCGGCTATCGACGAATCCTGGAAACCCTTGATACCGCTCGTCTTCCCTGCCGTTTGAAGCTTCGAGTTCACCCACTGAACGATCTCCTTCTCGACCAAAGTGCTACCTTGGGTGCCTGCCAGCGACGTGAGAATCGACAGCGTGTACGATCTCATCAACTGCCAGATCAAAGCCAAAGTCAACGTGGCGTTTCCATCGTTGATATCCTGGCCAGCGATTCCGACCAACGAGAAGTTCATCGTTTTCCCAAGCTCGACCGCGTAATTGCAGTTCTCCAATTTCTCCATGAACTTGCGCAGTTTCGTGAACTTTCTGTGCACCCTGTTCCAGTTCACTGTGCCTGGTTTGATGATGTCGTAAAGCTGGAAGATGACCAGACCATCGGCCAGATCGGAGTACAGCCAATTCACATGAGGCATCACGCCCATCGAGTTCATCCAGTTTCGATATGTTTTCTCTTCTCTCGTCTCTTCCAGGGATTCTAGGCCTTCGATGCTGCTTTCCGGTTTGTCCAGGCCAGGATAGTTATTGAACATATTGGCGACGAACGCGAGATTCAGCTTGTATATGCCATTGACCACGTCGCTGGGTGTTACGAAGCTACGGCAGCCCAGCTTGGCCGCCTGTTGCAACATAATTTCCGCTCGAGAGGTGTGGTTCGGCTCCATTAGAGCCTCCAGAGTAACTCCAGCCGTGTTCGGTGCGATTTGCTTGATGAGGTACGTATAGACCTCCGAGTCGGTGATATCCGTATGGAAATTGTGGCATCGCCTGGCTATACCGGCGTTTTCCAGATGATGGTTCACCCATCTGAGCAGGATAGATTCCGGTGATAATTTTAGAAGGTCTTCGATGCGTTCTCCGTCCTGTAGGAGAGTGGCCAAGCCTGGACAATTTTCCAGGGTGATCTGGTTGAACAGACCGATACGTATAATTTGCCATAGAAGACCCAGCACCAGGTGAGGCGAACCTTTCGTCAGATCGTGCGCGTCGATATTCACGATATTGCAACCGATAGCTTGGGCTGACGATAGGGCCAGCGTTAGGTTCTCGTGTTTCTTGTAGAGGGTCAGGTTCTTCTTATTGATGGTACGTTCGTCGATCGTATCGGGGCAGGAGTGATTGATTATTTTGCTGAAATAGAGAACATTCTTTTTAGTCGTACAATTTCTCATCAGTTAGGTAAATAATAATTGGATTTGTCTTTCTGAGCGTAAAAATAGAAGGATTCGTGTATTTACAGGCTGAGCGATTTATTAGATCGACCAGGATATTTTTCGGAAAGGAAGAAATTAATTATCTTAGATAAAACTTCTATTAATTGCTCTTTCATGCAGTATTCGTTGTTAGATATATTGCTTATAGATAAGCAAGTTACTAGAACATCTTCTATCTGCGTTATAATTCGCTTATTCCATCGCTGTCGAATTTTTCGTTTTTATTATTAAAATATTAATATTGCATCTTATAGGTGGTCCGATTTTCGAACATTCATCTCGTCAACGAGATTCATAAAGACAAGAAACAGATATCGATATACTTGAGGAAGACTATTCCCATACGACTTGTACAAAGTACAAGTTTTAAAATGTTCCCTGTTACAGAACAATTTATCAATGAAATTTTCAACAGCGATTAATTCAAATGGTAATATCGCACTGTCTGTTTATAGATCAAAATATACAATTGCAATTGTATACTCTAATTATACATTTTAATCTATAATAATTACTTGCGATTTGTCGAAATCCTCGAATAAAATCGTAAATGTAAAAAGAAAATTTCCTAACGCTATTTTCCAGCCAATCTAATAAAAATAGAAATATCGATAGGTTCATAGTGAAAGTGATTTATTGTATGTAATCACACGTTGTAAACACATGTATTATATCTAATCACGCGTTATGAATAATCACGCAGATCAAAGAATCGTGAACGTATCGATAAATAACCTATTTTATACAAGTTACATACATATATAGATAATAGAAAATATAAATTACATACCAGAGAAGAATTCCATCCTTAACCTTGTCGTATAAGGTCTTGCCTTCCGGATCGATGAGCAGCAGATGTTTCAAGTCAGGATCGTGTGACAAATTTGTGTTGATCCAGTCGCTGAAGGCAAGCTGTTCCTCCAATCTAACAGAATGCGTGGTCCCTTCGCTGGATGCCTCGGAAATTCCTCCCAATGTTTCTAAATTCTCCTTTTTCGAGACCACTTGTTTAAACGTGGATCCCAATTCGTTCGCCTTCAGTTCTTTACAGAGTTTCTCGAACTCTTCGAAGGATAGTCGTCCCTTGTGTTCCGACCTCTGCTTGTCGTCGTATTCCTCGATCATCTGACGCACCTTGTAACCGGGCATCTTGAAGCCACAGATGTCCAAGGCGCTTCGCAACTCCGTAAGATTGATGAACCCGTCCCCATTCTCGTCGATCTAACAGAAACGAAGTTTCTTTAGATTTCCAGTCTCTTTCCGGCTGCGGTTAAAAGAGGCCAAGCACGTGCTTTTGCGCGTAAAGCGTTCGGGTGCATGAGCTGGATTCGAGAATCATGGAATTCAGGAAGATAGTTCCGGTCGCTGAGGATTCGGGTAGTCCAGTTCTCGGGTTTAGGATTTTTGGAATCTTCGGATATCCGATCAAAATCGCAGAGTGTTGACGTTAAATAGAAAATAGCTTTGACTCTTAAGGATTCGAATCTTCTAATTTTCGCATCTATCGTAGAATTCTCGGAATCTTTGGAAGTCGCAGTTGGGCCGAAGAGTCGTGGTGTTTGGAAAAAATAGCCTTGGGACTTGGAATTTTCAGATTTGTACATAGAACAGGATTTGCGGAATCTTTGGATGTTAAAGCTGGATCAGAGAGTCGCACCGTCGAGGAAGGATAATTTCGATTCTTCAGGATTTGAAGGTCTTATAATCTTCAGGTCCGTCGCAGGATTCTTGGATTCTTTGGATGTCAGAGATAAATCGAAGTACTGCAGTGTTCAGGAAAAATAGCTCTGGTTCTCGAGGATCGCGATTTCAGGTATGTAAAGTAGGATTCTGGAAAACTTCGAGCGCCGAAATCGAGTCGGACGGTTGTAATATTCGGGAAAATAGTTCCGCTTCTTAATAATAAGGACCTTGAAATTTTCAGGCCTGTCGCAGGATTCTTGGATGTCTGTTGGATGTCAGAGATAAATCGAAGTACTGCAGTGTTCAGGAAAAATAGCTCTGGTTCTCGAGGATCGCGATTTCAGGTATGTAAAGTAGGATTCTGGAAAACTTCGAGCGCCGAAATCGAGTCGGACGGTTGCAATATTCGGGAAAATAGTTTCGCTTCTTAATAATACGGACCTTGAAATTTTCAGGTCATAGCTTATGTTGAAGGTGTAAAAATGTACAGAATATATAGGACGCACAAAAATACACGAAACATATAAAACAGAAAATTCCTATAGCTTAATTGTGCCCATAAAAATTCATCGTCTAGTAATCATTTGGGTATTAACAGGTTCAAGTACACGCTGTTTTAGTACGAAAATAAAGACACGGTAACTTTGTTAGTTCGGCTTTCGTACAATTCGATTGCTTATCTAATCGAATGGGAAATACTAGAAATAGATACCGTGAAAATTCACGCGAGTTCGGTAGCGGAACTTTCCGAGAAACAACCGCGTCTTGGAGGAAAATGAAACCCTTCGACATACGCTCGGTCAATCCCCGATCATTTAATCACGAGCGTATCGCACGTGTGAATGGAGAGAATAATGTTTCATCGGCGCCTTTCAACCAACGATATCTAGGTCGTCTGCAATAAAAGTCTCGTCGTTAGTTTTCAAGTGTGCAGTCGTGATTATAGGCGGTGCAATTTCCACGGAGAACAATAGTCAATGACGACGTTAGGAATGGTCGTGCATGCGCCTTCTTGGAAAGCTGCATCGGGGTTAATCGACAGTTCTTTATGCCAGTTCGCGGGAAACCGTGTTACAATCGACTAATTACCATTTTATTCTTGCCACTGAATCGTTCTTCGTTCACCGAGTTGGTCGTTTCTCTCCTGTCGTCGCGAGACAGTTTTCATCGCCTTTTAACTCTCTCGAATACTCATAGATTAAAGAACATCACGCTTACTCTAACGCTACCTACTGATATAAAAGTACAACTGAATCTGGTTATTCTGTTTTATCTCTCCGATTATGAAATATTAAGGAATAAAAAAAGAAAGAAAAAATAAGTTTCGATTTTTGAGAACACAGGTCCCAGAGTATTCAAATTTACTATAAGATACTTGGAGATTTTGCGTGATGAAAATTACCTAGAGGAGTTCAACGTTGGCGAAAGAAAAAAATAAATCTCCTTTTCGAAGATTCGGACGTTCGATTTTCCAGATCTAACGCACGAGATTCTTCGAACTTTCGAACGCAACATCTTGATTCGCAAGTTTCTAAATTCATTCGGTGTAATATTGTTCCATTCTTGGAATTCACTGATAAACTTCTACACGACAGATAAATCAACGAATGATTCAACGCGCAATTACAATCCGCCCAAGCTATTTTACAACACTTTCGATTCACATTATCGTTCACACTTCTTTCGCGAGCATTCGTCGAGAAATCCGATTTGACGTTTAAAAATGGACCGGCAGATGATCGTGGCGTACCTTTCACGCCCAACGATTGATCGATTCGCTTCGCGAACACTCGAGCGGCTTACGTAAAGGCGTAACTCGACGGAAAACCGATTGAAGCTACTTACTAGGCTGAAAAAAGAAGAGAAATCCTTCGAGAACTCCTCGAGAACGTCCCATTTTTTTATCTCGCGGAGCTCCATGGCAAGAGTAGAGGAACGAGAACGTGGAAGGTAACACGCTCCGACAAAAATGATCAAACCGGGTTACGATGCTGCGAGGGACTGAATGTTGCATTTAGACTCGCTTGTTATCACCGTTATCGGATGTTCGATAAAAAGGAACGGCCAAGAAAAGAAATTCATACGATAACTTGACACCTTATCGATACAATGACATAATAATGTAAGTCATATCGAATGATTTTCCAATTATTCGGAACTTCATTTGTATACCAAATCGCGGAACAAAGTGGCGTAACAGATTGTTTATCTGGATGCTATCGCTTATCTTATTCGACTTGTTAATTGAGAGGCTCGGAGGATAAGCGATACGAGTGGCAACATCATTGGGAAAATTGCGGATGAAATTAGTATTTAACGGAAAAATGTCTATGTGTTTACGGATATCGAAGCATCGAACGATACTAGCCACTATCAACAGGAAATGTCGTGTCGATCGATCCGATAAATAAATAGAAATCTTATTTATTGTTTCATATTTTCGATTTATAAATTCAATAGGATCAAAGCGTCGTGTGTCTAAATTTTTGAACTTGAATATTCGACGCGAATAAAATACCTATCTTCGAGTGTTTTCAAACGTTAAAAGAATTAAACGTCGACATTATCACAGGAAATAAGTTTAGGTATTAGATGACTTTAGATAAGTATAGATACTATTATACTGTCTCCTGTACTTATCTGCTTTACAGCAAAATAATACACTCGAACCATTTTTTCACTGATTATCGTCGGCCTTTCGATCGTTTCTTTATTTTCATGGTCGAAGCTTCGCGCCACGAAAATGTTTCATCTGCGACGAGACAGGTAAGCAGAAGGTAGAAACGATACAATACGTGAAATAATCGCGCAACGTCATAAAACCGAATTGTAAAGCCGGGCCATTATTGACAGACCGAAAGCACAAACTGATTAAAGCGGTTTGCCGGGTTTATCGCGTTAAAGTACCGCGATTAAATGGCCAGTTAATTGTTCCGTGTAACAATCCCTAATAGAACGATAATAATCGTCTATCTGAAAAAAAGCAATCGCATAACGATTAGCGACCGGGAACGATAACGATTGACTTTTTAAAAATTTCGTAACAAGCTCATGACAGTCGAGGTATACGGAAAACTCTTGTAGTTACAACATTTCACCATTATTAGTTCTGTTGAGAAAATCACTTTTAAAAACTTGGGGTGATCTCCTGCTACACTTTCCTAACATTTTTGTAACTTTATTGGAAATTTTCATTTCCGAAATGTATATATTTGTGTATGTAAGTAAGTTGGTGCAAGAAGCGCCGATGTCGTATCTTCGTAAATCGCAAAAATGAGAAAAATTGCAATTATTAAAAATAAACTATTGTATATTCTGTATAAAAAACGAGGATTTCCAGTTCTATCCAGAAACGACTGTAACAGCGTTCGTACATGCAATGTAAGAATTTTACGTAAAATAAACTTTCTCCAAAAATGATCAAAGCCAACGTAGGAAACGCAAACAACCTAAGTTTTAATTCTCTCTTTCCGTGTTAGAAGAGAAGTTCGACACAGCAGGAACTCCTGTGTGAGGAATTATTTGGACATGAATTTTCCAACGTTTTCTTGTATCCATCTCTACGTACAAATACCTAGACTTTATAAAGCTGATATTGGTACTCGTTGCAGCAAACCACAGATATATTTTCGTATATCTAACAACCAGACTGGACTGCTTATACGTTTTTTTAAGAATTTGAATGTAGATTACATGCGATATACAGGGTGGTTGGTAACTGGCGATACAAGCGGAAAGGGGGTGATTCTAGGCGAAAAAAGAAGTCGAAAATATAGAATAAAAATTTTTCGTTTGGGGCTTTGTTTTCGAGAAAATCGACTTTGAATTTTCGCTCGGTACGCGTACGGTACGTTACAACGTCACTGTAGATCGTTGTCTCGATAGAAAAATAAAAAAAAAATTTTTATTCTATATTTCCGACTTCATTTTTCGCCTAGAATCACCCCCTTCCCGCTTGTACCACCAGTTACCAACCACCCTGTATATTATATTTGGCCCGATCATCGTACTACGGGTTATGCCCGTAATATTTACGTTTGGTACGATCATCGTACTACTGGCTATGCCCGCAGTTGTAGGTTAAGGGGTTATTGAGGCGAAACCATTAATTAAGGACTAATATTTCGTTGATGCAACGTTCGATTTGTGGTTTCCTAGAACGCGGACATTTATCAAACTTTATACTTTTATGATACGATGAAGACGACGAATAGAGTTAAAGATATAGCTCGCTAACAATTATTAATGATCGAAATTGCAGTTCAATTAATTACGTACGTGAATATTATATTTTCGTTATACTTTATATACAGGGTGGTTGGTAACTGTTGGTAACTATATTTTCGACTTCTTTTTTCGCCTAGAATCACCCCCTTTCCGTTTGTACCACTAGTTACCAACCACCCTGTATAAAAATATGCGAAATACCCAAAGCAAGATATATATTCGTTATAATATTTGAAAGATCAAATAATTCGGATTTTTAACTACTTTGATTTTTACGCGATCGATAGGTCGCTTTCTAGATAACCGCGAGT